CTATGATTGTACATGAAGAGAACATTTTTTAAACCCACATATTTAGTCTGGAGTAGCTCCTGCATCCCTGACTCAGTGATCGATCCTAGGATTAAGTGTCCACTAATGTGACTAACACTGAAAAAAATTACTAGAGTTGAGCCGGGATGAAAAAGATGTTTGTAGAATCTGTGAACATTTTATATCCACATATTTAGTCTGGAGTAACCCCGGCTCAGTGATCGATCCTATGATTAAGTGTCCACTAATGTGACCATGTCGGACTGTCCAGCGGACCGAGCTGCAGATGGACAGGACATCGACCGGATCAGCCTTGACCCAGCCACACGGGAAGATTACTCTGGATTTGTATCAGTATAACCGTTGACAGACTCCGTGTATCTGTATCTGTATAGCCGGTATAACTTCCCTTCCGTCTAACACACCAGCTCCGCAGGCACGCGGCGCGGCGGCACCTAGCTATATCACTCCGAACGAACCGTTACACCCAATCTTTGCACAATTAATTGCAGCAGTTGTTTAAAGCTTTATAGTGATGATGAACCAACTATGCTTTCTGGCAACAGGATCTACTGTACGATAGTTCTTGGAAAATACGAGTTTTTGAACACTTCGATTCTTGGTTGATTCCTCTTGATTTGCTCAGCTGTAGACTCCACGAGGTGACACGCTAGGAGAGCTACACGTAGGGGAGAACGGGAGGGTGGGGACGTTTGTTATAATTACGTTTGAATGAAACCGAGTGCGCTACAGCAGTGGCCTGGAAACAGGATTATTCTGAAATGTCTGAATTTTCAACATCAACAGGAGATGGAGAGGAAGTAAGGAGAGGAGCGGAGAATGATGATCGTTATGAGAATGAGAGGAGAGGAAGATGATGATGATAAGGAAGACAACGTTTGTTGCTGATGAATAAATCGAAATGATGAATAGCTGAATGCAGTGGTCTGAAAGCGGGTCCACGCCCGCTAGGTTGAGTTAACGTATTGACGTCACGTTGCCAGGCGACGGCACTTATGTGTCCAGAAACGCCGCGGATCCGAGATGCGCACTGATGAATGCAAAATCACTCACAGGCTGACAGCTGCACGGCCCGGGATCTGTGGGAACATTTTAACATAAGTGGCATGAAGTACGTAAAAAGCAGTTACTCAAGCAACTGGATACGATTTTGGAAAAAAATATCATACCCAGTTGCTTGAGTAACTGCTTTTTGACGTATCTTATTACCTGGATGTCTAACCTTCATAGACGTGACATGAACACTGGAACGAAAAGGAACGTGATCGATATGCATGTAGCTATAGCGTGCGGTGCATATGTCTATGAGCCAACTCAACAGGTCTTGCATGTGCAGGCCCGATTCGTAGGGTTCTTCAAAGGAAGTGCGTCCCAGTATCTGTGTGCACATTTTAACATGAAGAGACATGAACACTGGAACGAAAATGAACTTAATTTTCAATTTCAATTCAATTTTATCGAATCAATCAACATAGTACATAGTACTCCTAAATTGCATCGACATGTTGGATACAAGAAGAAACAAAGGGCATACGGATACACAAAAAGGTCATGAAACGCGAAAAACACTAAGCCTGCATTTGACTATTTTGTCCGTGCCTTCGGGACCGTTATACCCCCAGAGTTCCTCAAAGACATCCCTGTGCTATCAGACCTGGTATCCGGTACCAAATCATGGAGTGGATTGTCAGGACTGAGCATACATTTGAACAGCTTAACAGCTTGATCGATATGCATGTAGCATGCGGTGCATATATCCATGGCCTAACTCAACAGGTCATACAGCTGCACGGCCCAGTATCTGTGGGAACGTTTTGGCATTTTCGTGACACCAAAAAGCAAACCTGTTACAGTGGGGATAAAATTCCCTGAATTGCAAAGAGTTTGCGTACACAAACTACAATGGACAAGACAGGCGATATGTACATCCCTCATATACATTATGGTATATCATTTTCATACCAAGCAAACCTTCTGACTTTTGTACATATGAGGTTTAGGGAACATAAGAGACATGAACATTTGGACAAAAGGAGCTTGATCGATATGCATGTAGCATACCGTGCATAAATCTATCACCCGACTTAACAGGTCATATATGTGTACGCCCGATTCGTTGGTTTCTTCAAAGGAAGCGCGTCCCAGTATCTGTGTGCACATTTTGACATAAGCGACATGAACATTGAGACGAAAAGGATCTTTATCGATATGCATGTAGCTATAGCGTGCGGTGCATATATCTATGGCCCAAGTCAACAGGTCTTATATGTGCACGTCCAATTATTTGATTTCCTCCACTTTGAAAAAAAAAAAAACTACCGGGATATCTATCTAACGCACCTCCCAGTATCTGTATGCACATTGTGGAATTAGCGACTTGAACCTTAAGAAACATTATTGATATGCCATATATGTAGCATATGGGTCACCTATTGCCCGAGTCAACAGGTCATACACATGTGCACGCCCAAATCGTTGGTTTCCTCCACTGAAAAAAAATAACTTGCGGAATATCTATAATATCTGCTAACAGTAAAATGTCAGTAACGGACGTGATCGAGATTATCCATGCAACATGGTGAACTATGCCTTCTGGTGGCGGTATATGACACTGTGCGTATTTGATGTAAAACCTGCTAACGTTGGCTTCGTGCCTGTATCTGTGCAATCAATATGTCTAGAACGTGATCGTTCCTGTGTGCCTCAGAGTGTAACGTTAAAACTGGTGGACAAAAATGTTGAGGCCAATGGTTAGGAGAGCCAAGACTCCATGTATCTGTATCTGTATAGCCGGCATAACCGCTCTTTGGCGTAACACACCAGCTTCGCAGGCACGCGGCGCGGCGGCAGCTGCCTACATTACACCGAACGACTAAACGATACCTAACCCTTAAATATCTATCTCTAAACATTGTTTAAAGCATTGGTTAACTCATCTAACTCTAAATATTGTTCACCTGGACATTATGTATGCCCCAGAGAGGGTTTTGCTCCAGCATCTATAGACTAAGACTAAAGCTAGCTCATGATAATGCCCCTACTGTACTTGGTAACAGCGAGTTCCACTCTGCGATAGCTCTAGGAAAGAATGGGCATGTACTAGAGCTGTGTACCTAAACAAATTTTAGGTACAGGTACAGGTACAGGTACACAGGTTTAGGTACAGGTCCGGACCTGAACCTGTACCTGAACAATTCGACCAATTTATATGCTCTTCTGAACTCCTTCAATAACAAAAAAACATAAATAAACTTGATAGTTAAGGTTTATTCTTTGTTTATGGCGAATGCTCAGATAAAATATAGGCAAAACTAAGATGTTTTTGTTTTCATGAACACACTGTCCTTACACAGGCACCCATTGTTAACCAGCTATTTAAACATTTGAGGTCACAAATAGGCATAAAATTAGTGTGAAATTGTTTAGGTACAGTACCGGTACTGAGGGATTAGGTATTTTGGACCTGTACCTAATCAATTTTTCCGGTACAGTATCGGTACTGCGTACCGGTACACAGCTCTAGCATGTACTGTACAAGGCACGTTCCGGCCGTTCCTCTATATTGCGTCGATCCTGTAATCTCCCTCTACACGCGTCGGGAGAGATGCCAGATGGAACACGGGGACATGCAGGATAAAAGGATCAACGCCTACTGACTGCGACTCGCAGGTAGATAAAGCAGCCTTGCAGCCCTTAAGGATGACGTACAGATACAGCCCGCGCAGCGCAAAGATGTGCATGAAATTCGGGAAGACGCAGGGATATACCAGATGTGAACTTGTACTTTAAGTTCAACTAGACGGAAAATTGCTTTTTGTTTCAGAGCGAATACCTGCATGTGACCTGGCGATAGGACGCTCTAGGTTAGTCCCCAGCAGACTCCTTTGCAGGCCGAATAAATAGTAGAAATCGGACTAAAAAGGGGTTTTACTTAGCCAGAGAAGTTGGTCGGCCAGACAGGGTTCATCTGTGCAGGCAACTTGGACCCTCCCTGGCTGGCCAACTTCTCTGCCCAATTAAAACCACTTTTAGGCCGATTTCTACTATCTATTCAGCCTGTAAAGGAGTCTGATGGAGACTAGGTCTAGGTGGTGAACTTATTGTCGAATGATTACAGTCAGAAAACCCAGTCCACAGTTCAATAGCACAAGGCGTCGTGCACGGACAAAACAGATCGTCCCTTCACACTTGGGCCATACGGACGCACCGTACCGAATAACATAGAACATATGGAATGAATTCACGCATGGAGGTTATACATGCGACATAGTTTCACGAACAGCATGCATAATACATTATGATGTGCCGTGATAGAGAATGTGATATACACAATCTACTGATGCCGTATGCATTAACAGATGGCTATCGTATGCACAGACATCTATCTTTATGTATATATATATCTTACATCAATCGTTATATATGTATCTTATATTAAAGCTTCGTTTCGACACGGCAAGTTCATTTTCTTGACTGTTCGGCTGCCTGCACTGTATCCGGACACTTAACGATGGCTTTACGTACACGCGATTTCGGAGGAGGGCCTACAGACACACGTTTTTGTCCTCGATCTTCGTCGCGTGTATCTAAGGTGTTGTTCGATCAGTTGGTTCCTTCACATTCGCAACCTGTCAGTGTAGATGTTGCCTTGAGACGAGCCTATTGTACATTCTTGGAGCTGAGCACATGATACAAGTACATTTGGTGAGACCATGGAGTCATGAGATGCTTCTTTCTGATGCTTTGTGCTACGCGATGTACTGTTATTGTGTTGTGCAACATGGGAGTGAAGATGTTACCTTCAGACGAGCCCATTGTACTTTTGCTGGTGCTATGCCCATAGTACATTTGTTAATAAGGCTATGGAGTCGAACAATGCTTGTGTGTACTGGTGTTCCGCGATGTACTGTTATTGTGTTGTTGAAAGTTGAATACAAAGGCTCTACAGATGAAGTAAAGCTTGTTTTATTCCTCCTCAGCCCCCCGAGAGACCCGAGACGTCCTACCCGGTGCGTAACGCATACCGTCCCGGCCCTGCCTGTCCCCAGCCCGCTAACCCGGCTACAGACACCGTGGGAGACAGCGAGGACTGCCTCTATCTCAACATCTGGGTCCCGCACAAGGTAAGACCACTCTTCTTCTTCTTCTGTTGTACTGCTGAGTCCCGTTGCTGTTTTTTTTATTTCAACATGTAATCACAAGAAGGAATCGTGGAAGACCACATTTGACTTACATAAAACAGCTAGAAGCTGACAGTGGAATGACTCTAAGTCAACTGTCTGCTGCGATGGAGGATAGAGAAAAAATGGAAACAGTCATAGGGAGACTTCGAGTGAGCTCGACGCAGTGAGTGAGTGAGTGAGTGAGTGGATCACAAGACGTAGTATTGTGACGGCAAACTCAAGTTTTTTTTTTCAAAACTTTAATGCCGCCACCAACACACAGGACAATACAAGTCGTGTAAAGTGCCTTTCCCCAGGGCACAAGACTGGTGGAAGGGCATTGCTGGGTTTATGAACCGACCGCACGTGTTAGTAACAAGTGTCCTAGACATTTTAAAATGGGGAAAGATAAGGATAGCAGGGAGGAGAGAACATAAATAACTCAATTTGTGCGTGTAGAGGGCAGGATAAGTGAGTTTAGTGCGTTAGTAATATTTACTGATCTATACGTGTTGGGTGGGTCAATGCAACAAGATTCTTGCCTGTTCAGTTCTGAACTGCGTGAGAGACCCCACCTCCATCTCTTCAGTAATTTTTCCCATTTTAGGAGTCAAAGTCATGAGCAAATGCATGTCGGCTTGAAGAAAATTATCATACAACTGCTTGCCAATGCCGGCAGCAATTCAAATCGAAAGTAGATGACATAACGGCACGTTATTCATTACAGCTAGAATAAAAAAAATTGAAGTTAACAACAAAATTGAACTTGAGTCTCCTGAAGTACTACATGATCCACAGCCCCGGAAAACAAGGACCAAAGATAAAGGCAAGAGCAACAATTGTATTGACGAAGAAATTGTTTTCCTAATTTCGTGTCTGGAAAAGAAGACGTCTAGTCTATGCATATCCCATCCAGTCTGCAGTTATCGTACAGTCAGAGTCTGGAAGGTTTCCAAACAGATCCATCATGTCGGCGGCTGGTTCCCGCTGATGTCAGCATGTCGGGCGGCGGGGATGCTAGCCTAGTATCCAGTCTTATCGTGTTTTTTTAAATATTCTAGCATTTCATGACTAGACATGGTAAAAGCACACTAAAGTTATATCAACTTATTTTATGCCGCCACCAAGGCTGACAGGACGAATACAGGACAGGACAAGACAATACTCATTTTCACTTGAGTTGGTCGGTGGCATGTCAGGACTCGAACCCGGGACCTCTTGGTTCCGAGTCAAGCACGTTTCCTCTATGCCACACGACCCCACTTATCGTGGTTGGGGCATACATGTAGTAGTTGGGGTGTTCAGGCAGGCTGTGTATTCTGGGCTCTAATAACTTCCCCCCGCCCGGTACAACAGGCCGCTAATAGAGATGGCACTCCTGGGGATTTGATTTGCCCAACCGCGTTCGTATCCTGGGTGCCAGGGTCAGCCAGACCCATAGCACACTGGGCACTAAGTATCTCAGTGCTCACTGAGATACTTTGTGTCCAGTGTGCTATGGGTTTGGCTGACTCTGGCACCCAGGCTAACCGGGCGGTAGTCTGGACGCCGACAGGGATCATCAACACAACCTGCGCTTCCCCTGCCCGTCTTCGTGATGTCCTGACAGCCCATGGATCATCGTCAACACCCGGGAACGCCGCGCCAATCTCGGCAAGTTCGCGGTCTGGCTAATTGGATAATAGCCGCGCACATTATTTTAAATTTACTCAGAGTTACAAACAACATTTAACAACAATTTACAATCTTCATCAAGTCACCCGTGCTGCACAATCAGGAAGTATTCGAATCATTCAGCAGTCTAGCAATGTAGGGAATTTGTGTGTTCCAATATCGTTTAGTTCTGCTTTTTATTGTCCTTTTTTTATTTAACAACATATTTACAATCTTCCTCAAGTCACCCGTGCTGTACAATCAGGCAGTATTCAAATCATTCAGCAGTCTAGCAAAGTAGGGGATTGGTGAGTTCCAATATCGTTCAGTTCTGCTTTTTATTGTCCTCAACCTGTCAGAGTTTCTCGTGTTTGTTATGGACCTTGCCCACTCTTGGCGGGAGAACTGCCGGGATCATCACCCCGCGCATCGTCTGCCTGCCGGTCTTCGTGATGTGCCGACAGCCCATGGATCTTCGTCAACACCCCTGCCTAGCCTCCACCAGGCCTTTCTACGGGAATACAGATCGTAGAATTCGGCAAAAAGGAGAATAAAATTGGCCAAGGGAGTCCGACCGCGGGGAGGTAGTTTCTTTCCTTCCGCGGCCAGTCAAACCTACATACAAGGCGGCCAAACTCCCACGGCAAATATTCTCCTATGTAGCCAGCGTAGTTAGTCTGGTATAGACTATCCCCTGCCCGTCTTCTTGATCTGCTGACAGCCCATGGATCATCGTCAACACCGGGGAACGCCGCGCCAATCTCGGCAAGTTCGCGGTCTAATTGGATAAGAGCCGCGCCTTGGTAGATCACCGAGGTCGATTTCCGCGGAAAAAAAAAACCGGACGCGACGAAAACAACGGGCGGCTGATGGAGGGTGATGAAGCACCGTTTCACTTTCAATTACGGACGGCAGGATGACGCGCCCAGGAGCTGAGTGCTTCCCGCGGATCTCAGACATGTAAACACGTACTACACGTACTCAGAATGTAGCCTCCACCAGGCCTTTCTACGGGAAGAGTTTCTCGTGTTTCTGTTTTGGACCTTGCCCACTCTTGGCGGGAGAACTGCCGAATTCATCACCCCGCGCATAGTCTGCCTGCCCGTCTTCGTGATCTACTGACAGCCCATGGATCTTCGTCAACACCCCTGCCTAGCCTCCACCAGGCCTTTCTACGGGAATACGGATCGTAGAATTCGGCAAAAAAAAGAGTAAAATTGGCCAAGGGTGTCCGGATGCGGGCGAGGGGAGGTGGTTTCTTTCCCTCCGAAGCAGCCAGTCAAACCCTACAAGGCGGCCAAACTCCGCTGGAAAATATTGTCCAATATATAGCCAGCGTAGTTAGTCTGGTAGAGACTACTCGGAATGCACCAACCTGTCATCTTTGTTGTGATCTTTTCATACAATTCGGAATACGCGTCTACGGAACTTGGAGCCGGAAGGAAATTAAACCGTAATCAGGGAACAAGTCAGCTAAATAAAAGCATCTATTTCATAGACGCGTGTCTCGGGGGAAAGCGGATCCCGCTAATGTCATTTGCCGCCGAGCTAAACGTGTTACTGCAGGCAGGGAGAAGGCAGATTAGATTGCCTCCATCAGAGCTCCCATTACAGGTGCACAATGGGCGGGATGCACGCACAGCTCCAATTAGCCCGGCCTTTGTAGACAAGATACAAATCATCCGTGTGGATGATGACGTTCGGCTGAATCCTCATTTATGTACAGCCTGAACACGGTGACGCATGTTATTTCATTACAGCGGGATCGCGTCAACACAACAATGGGGGCTAGACTGTATACACGGGGGACCCGGGTCCTTAATTTGGCATCAGAAGTCTGGGATAACGATACGTCTCCGCCCACAGTGTGCCGTCTGGTTTAATCATGTAAACACAGACAGGAGGGAGTCTCCCCATATTATCTGTTTGTGTAGCCACGATTCATTTTCCTGCAATTAATAATCAATTGCTAAGCAATAATTGACCAGTTACACTGGTCATTATTGTACAGTTCTAGCTATATATAGTACTATGTAGAAATATAGCGATTTTACAACCAGGGACGATAGTTCAGCTGTAAACATGCTCACTAGCTATTGCCTGCAAACCTTTTGTTGCGCATCCTCATATCGCTAAGAGACCATGTTTGCTTCTCTCAGGATGTGGGGAGGACATCTCAGCCCAGTGTATACTGACTAACGGTGAACACCATTATCTAGTAACTACTGTAAACGTTACCGGGTGTGTTATTTGTATTTCGTTACTTGGACCAACTTTGGCTTTAAAGCGGCCCAACGTGTGGGTGTTAGTAGTTTCCAACTATCCAGGAGGTCCGCTTGTGCAACCTTCAACCTTCATCCGCCTCAGCGCGAATAGAATGACTTTGAACTTCAGAAAGGACAGCGCACAGAGCGTTTCAGTGAACTGGTAATAGATTTGGCCAATGTCGAATGAAAGTCCATCCATTCCATTTTCCTTTTCCACCTGTTGGTGTGATTTCTGAAGCTTTTACGACTATCTGAGAGTGAATAAACTGCCAGAGACAAAGCATCGATAATGCAAGGATTCTAGTTCGGAGGTGGCAGCATGTAATTACCCTCCATGAAAATGGGGGTACTGTTTTTACTCCGTTTCATGTTTGGTCTGATATCTGAAGATCGGTGAGAAGGAACTGTACGATATTTGGCAGATTGATGGATGGGGCCTTGGAGATTGTGTAGGTTGACTTTGAGCCCCTGGTGATTGACCTTGGTACTGCAGTTTAATTTTTTTATTCTGTTGTTTGCGCGTTATGGACTGTTTGTGCGATATTAAGGTAGCATGTAGTTGTTATTACCACGGTTTAGTGGTTTAAATTTGGGCTTCCTAGCTGTTTGCGTTTGATATTTACAATATGTTTAAAGTTGGTCTTTTTGTGTTGAATGTTTGGAAAATCTGGTGGGTCGTTTGGTATAATATTTGGTATGTGGGTAGTTGTTGAGTCTCTTTGCGTTTTAGAGTGCATTAGCAGGTTATCGTATATTTTTATTGCTTAATTTAAAAGGATTTTCATTTTTCACCCCTACTTCATAATAGGATGGTCTGTTTGACCCAAAAGTTGGGACAGATCTAGAGTGTTTTTGTTTATATACCTCCAGCTGGCAGGCCAGGCTGAGGCAGCCCAATCTATTTTTACCCCTAGACAGAGACTGAAGGAAATATAGTCCCGTCACCTCTTCACTATGGTTGGTTGGCTGGTTTTATTATAGGTCTGTTAGTGCTGTTAATGATATTCATGGCCATATAACGTCAAATTACATTTAAACCCA